GTGCTGCCTGAAGTAATTTTTGAAGAAACAGTATTTCAAAATGACTACTCTCTCTCTTAGAGAAAGAGTTGGTTGAAACCACTTCAATTTGAAATTGGGGTAATAAAGAAATGAATGGGTTTAGCTCTCTTTAATGTTGTCTAATCAAGAAAGGAATATGTGCTTATTAAATAAAATCTGAAAAACACACATAGGCAGAAAGGAAAAAAAAAGTGACCATAGTCCTACTACCGGGAGACAACCGCTACTTAGCATTTTGGCTAGTTTCTATCACTAAAAAATTGTGCTTTTTTTTTCTTTTTGAGAGGGAGTCTCACTCTGTCACCCAGGCTGAAGTGCAGTGGTGCTGTCTTGGCTCACTGCAATCTCCGCCTCCTGGGTTCAAGCAATTCTCCTGCCTCAGTCTCCCGAGTAGCTGGGATCACAGGTGCATGCCACCACACCCAGCTAATTTTTGCATTTTTAGTAGGGAGGGGGTTGCGCCATGTTGGCCAGAATGGTCTCGATCTCCTGACCTTGTGATCCACCTGCCTCGGCCTCCCAAAGTGCTGGGATTACAGGCGTGAGCCGCCACGCCCAGACAAAAAATTTGTTTTTTTTTTTTAAAGAATCGGCCGGATGCGGTGGCTCACGTCAGAATCGGCCGGATGCGGTGGCTCACGTCTGTAATCTCAGCACTTTGGGAGGTTGAGACAGGTGGATCACCTGCGATCAGGAGTTTGAGACCAGCCTGGCCAACATGGCGAAACTCCATCTCTACTAAAAATACAAAATTAGGCCGGGCGCGGTAGCTCAAGCCTGTAATCCCAGCACTTCGGGAGGCCGAGACGGGCGGATCACGAGGTCAGGAGATGGAGACCATCCTGGCTAACACAGTGAAACCCCGTCTCTACTAAAAAAACTAGCTGGGCGAGGTGGCGGGTGCCTGTAGTCCCAGCTACTAGGGAGGCTGAGGCAGGAGAATGGCATAAACCCGGGAGGCGGAGCTTGCAGTGAGCTGAGATCCGGCCACTGCACTCCAGCCTGGGCGACAGAGCGAGACTCCGTCTCAAAAAAAAAAAATAAATAAATAAATAAATAAAATAAAAATACAAAATTAGCTGGGTGTGGTGGTGTGTGCCTGTAATCCTTGCTACTTGGGAGGCTGAGGCAGGAGAATCGCTGAACCCGGGAGACGGAGGTTGCAGTGAGCCAAGATCGTGACACTGCACTCCAGCCTGGGTGAGGGAGTGAGTCTCCATCTCAAAAAAACAAACAAAAAAATCGGTAGTAAGAACACTTAATATAAACGGAAACTTTATATCCATTGAATAGCAACCCCCATTTCTGGTACTCTGCATGTTTAGAGAAACTTCTCTAGTAGCAAACTACAGAAAAGATCCCTGAATGTGTGGTCTTTCTACCAGAGCTCTCAATTCAGCCAATGGTTTCAGAACCTGTTTTTTTTTTTTTTTCTCACTCCGTCATCCAGACTGGAGTGCAGTGGTGCCAACGTGGCTCACTGCAGCCTCGACCTCTCTGGCTCCAGCAATCCTCCCACCTCAGCCTCCTAAGTAGCTGGGATACAGGTGTGTGCCACCATGCCCGGCTAATTTTTGGTATTTTTTGTAGAGAAAGGGTCTCCCTATGTTGCCTGGGCTGGTCTCAAACTCCTGGGCTCAAGCAATCCGCCTGCCTTAGCTTCCCAAAATGCTGGGATTACAGGTGTGAGCTACCATGCCCAGCCCATTTTCTTTCTTTTTTAAGGTGGCATTTATTTGTTTTAATTTTTGTGGGTACATATATATATTATATATATCACAAAAAAACACAAAAAAATTATAATATATATATAATAATCACATCATGGAAGCTGGGATATCCATCCCCGCAGGCATTTATCCTTTGTGTTACAAACAATCCAATTCTACTCTTTTGGTTGTTCAGATGTTTCATTTTCTTTGTTCCTTTTTTTTGAGACAGTCTCGTTCTGTTGCCCAGGCTGGAGTGCAGTGGCGCAATCTCGGCTCACTGCAACCTCCGCCTCCTGGGTTCAAGAGATTCTCCTGCCTCAGCCTCTCAAGTAGCTGGGATTACAGGAATGCGTTGCCATGCCCAGCCAATTTTTATATTTTTAGTAGAGACAGGGTTTCACCATGTAGGCCAGGTTGGTCTCGAACTCCTGACCTCAAGTGATCTGTCCACCTTGGCCTCCCAAAGTGTTGGGATTACAGGCGTGAGCCACTGCACCCAGCTGAGATGCTGCATTTTCAATGCCAACCCTCAATTCCTGCCCATTGTATGCACTGAGACCATCAAGTGATTCTTTTATATATCCTTCATGTAGACCAGCACTGGCCAGTACATACAATAGCTGCTTGGTATGTGTGACTGTATAAATTCTAAATTAGTTAAATAAAAATAAAAATTCAGTTTCTCTGTCTAGCCATATCAAATGCTCAATAACCACATGAGATTAGGGGCTACCATGTTGGAATAGGGAAGATACAGGACATTTTCATTTTCACTGAAAGTTCTATTAGACAGTGCTGGTGTCGATTCTGACCTGCTCAGCTCAGGCCTTAAGAACAGTCTTGAGGCCAGGCATAGTGGCTCACGCCTGTAATCCCAGCATTTTGGGAGACTGAGGTGGGAGGATCACTTAAACCCAGGAGTTCGAGATCAGACCGGGCAATACAGGGAGGCCCCGCTTCTACAAAAATACAAAAAACCAGCTGAATGTGGCAGTATGCACCTGTAGTTCCAGCTACCTGGCAGACTGAGGTGGGAGGATTGCTTGAGCCCAGGAGGTTGAGGCTGCAGTGAGCTGTGATCACACCACTGCACTGCAGCCTGGGTGAGAGCAAGACTGTCTTAAAAAAAAAAAAAAAAAAAAAGATAGCATTTTTTACCTCAAATAATGACAGAACCCAGAATATTTCTCAGCAATAAGAAAAGCCACCCCAAGAAGCAGCACAGAGATGGGTTCACAGTGTCTGAAAAGGAAGTCAGTCATTAGCCACCTTCTGACATCCTAGCAATTAGCTGGTCTTGGGAGAAGAGCAGGTATCTCCAGAGAGGTGCCAAATAAATAGGAGATAAGAGACTATAAAAATGAAAAGTCTTTTGGCCTTTCATCACAGGATAATCCAATGCATGTGAATTAATGGTGAAAGGCTCACTAATAGCCTTTGTGAGGAAATAGGAGCAGTGTAGCAGGATATCCTTTTTCCGCACTAAAGCACCCAATTCTTTCAATTTTATATACAGCGGAAGCAATTAATTGTACTAGAAAGAAATCCACAGCTGGCTTTTCCTGATGGCCTCATAAGCAACAAGCACTATTGTTCAGTTTCCGGGACAGATGTAAAGTCATTCTACCACACTGCTGAGATTTTTCTGAATGTTTAGTTTGACTTCTCCAAAGATAATAACTTACGTGTTAACTTCTAAAATTTGGTTTGTCTTGTCATCACACATTTTCAGTATACACAACTGTCAAAAAGTTAATTTTTATTGTGCTATTGCACTCCAGCCTGGGCAACAAGAGCGAAACTCCCATCTGAAAAAAAAAAAAAGAGTAAATTTTTGATTTGTAATATAATCCAGCACGTGACTTGACGTTAGTGTTTTTTCCAAACGTTATGTGACTGAATCATAAGTTATTCACTTTTGTTTGCTTTACATGTTTATATGCAGTTGAACTGCACTGCCTCTGCTTTTGTGGTATCATCCACAGTGTGGCTATTCAGGAATCAGGCATAACAAGATTATACATCAAAAACTCAGAAATTTAACATTTCAAACGCTGGCCTGTATGGCATTGCTTCGCCTTCTAGATGCATTAAAATACGCCATATTTCATTAATTCTCAGATGCACACTTTTTTTGCCATTTGAAATTCTCTGGAATTGCGACATCTTAATGTGTCAGAGTTTAACTGGCAAGGTTTTTCTTCCTTAGTTGTACGTAAAATAATGATGGATCTTATAGTCAACAGTATCCATGCTGTTCTTTGGGTGGGAAAAAACCCAAAATGAAACAGTATCCTAGTTTTGATGACATATGGTATACATAGTTAAAATCTGTTGAGTATGATGTGTTATTGCAAGTACAACAATAGAACAACTCTTTATTTTTTCTGAGACATGGTCTCCCTCTGTTGCCCAGGCTTGAGTGCAGTTGCGTGATCACAGCTCACTGCAACCTCTGCCTTCTGGGCTCAAGGGATCCTTCTGCCTCAGCCTCCTGAGTAGCTGGGATAACAGGCAAGTGCTACCATGTCTGGCTAATTTTTGTAATTTTTATAGAGATGGTGTTTTGCCATGTTGCCCTGGCTGGTCTGGAACTCCTGGACTCAAGTGATCCGCCTGCCTCAGCCTCCCAAAGTGCTAGGATTACAGGTGTGAGCCACTGCGCCTGGCCTAGAATAACTCTTTTCAGTAAAAAAATATTCACATCAATCAAATAAATAAAAACTTTACTTATATATCTTATATGGGATTCTGACTTCATTCTGACAAATATGCAACTTGTCACTTTCATTTTTCTCTATATTTTATCAATCAACTAGTTCTTTTAAATAATACCTAATCTTTTTCTTTGGTGCTGAAACCCAGGGTCGAAAATATCTACTTTTCTGATTATAAAAGTAACATTGGGCCAGGTACGGTGGTTCACGCCTGTAATCCCAGCACTTTGAGAGGCCGAGGTGGGTGGATCACAAGTCAGGAGTTTGAGATCAGCCTGGCCAACATGGTGAAACCCCAACTCTACTAAAAAACAAAAATTAGCTGGGCGTACTGGCGCATACCTGTAGTCCCAGCTACTCGGCAGGCTGAGGCAGAAGAATCACTTGAACCTGGGAGGCAAAGGTTTCAGTGAGCCAAGATTGCACCACTGCACTCCAGCCTGGGCGACAGAGCAAGATTCCGTCTCAAACAAAAAAAAGCAAACAAAAAAACAGTAACATTGCCATTGTGGGGGAGATAAAGCTTATGGAAGAAAATAATAACCATCCATTAGGCCACCACAGAATACTGCCAACATTTTCTCTTTATTTTGGGATAATCTTTTTTTAATAAACACACATATTTTATAATACAAAGTTAACAAATGCTTAAACATATCTTGTCAAATGTCCTGAAAAGTATATAATGTTACACAATAAAAAAGTGGGTTCTTTAAGCAAGCCAGGGATTAGCGCCCCCCACCATTGGAGTAGAACTTTCTGGTGTTTGGTAGGATCATGTGCAGATGTTGCAATGCATAATTCCATGGAGCACCATTCATATCAGGCAGGTTGTGAATGGCACCCCCTTAAAGTTGTGCAACCTAGCAACCCTGGTGCTCAGTACCGTGACCATAGCGACAGTGGTACCTATGTAGGGGAGATAGACAGCAGGGAGGATGCAACAGCACAGCAGATGTATCAAGGAGTTTGCAACTACCCAGCAACTTTGAAAACAATGGATTCGCAGAAGCAAGGATTCAACAACTGGTAAGCTCCAGTGGCCTGGGACTGCTTCTTTGATATCACGTGTATTTTGGTATTCGCTAACCTGTCTCCCTCAGGCTGAGAGGCCCCTATCTATGTTGAAGAACAAAGGTATGAAAACTTATTTGGGAGAAAGACATAGGAACAGCTAAGCTATGTGGAAAGTCAGTGATGTAGACCATTGAGAGAAAATCCTAAGGCATTGAGGATGGAGTAGTCGACGATGACTTCTTGGAAGAGGTACTTCTCAGGCAGTATAGGGAGGAGAAGGGCATTAAATGGAGAATGAATATGGTCCATTCTTCAGAAAGTAGTGAGACCAGTCTAACGAAATGTTGCTCTATAGCAGTGTTTTCAGATTTAATGGGACCGGTGTTTCATAATAGAAATCTAAACAATTGGGCAACATTAATTGAAAGAGGGAATGACCAATTAGAAGGAGAGCTAGCAGCATTCAGGATCGAAGGAAGAGGGGCTTTAAGGTAGGTAGCAAACTAAATGGAAAATAATCTACATTTTAAAAAAACACTGACAAGTATTGGTTACTGGTTACATAGATGACTATGTATCCTTTTGAAAAAATAAAGGAAGTTGTTTTAAAGTTTACTTATTGAGAAAAAAAGTTAGACGATAGTTCTGTTATGATGTACAGGATTTTTTTTTTTTTTTTTTTTTTTTTTTGAGACGGAGTCTCGCTCTGTCGCCCAGGCTGGAGTGCAGTGGCCAGATCTCAGCTCACTGCAAGCTCCGCCTCCCGGGTTTACGCCATTCTCCTGCCTCAGCCTCCCAAGTAGCTGGGACTACAGGCGCCTGCCACCTCGCCCGGCTAGTTTTTTGTACTTTTTAGTAGAGACGGGGTTTCACCGTATTAACCAGGATGGTCTCGATCTCCTGACCTCGTGATCCGCCTGTCTCGGCCTCCCAAAGTGCTGGGATTACAGGCTTGAGCCACCGCGCCCGGCCTGATGTACAGGATTTGTTAGTAGACTCTCATTCCAACAAGATAAGTGCTTTATCATTAATCCTCAAAAATATGGAAAACCAAACCAAAACAAAACACCTAACCCTGCCTTGGTTAATAGAAATAAAAAGAAATGTGCCAGGGCAAACTACCAACAGAGAACAAAATTAAGTATCTCATTTATTTAATAAATACTTACTGACTACCTACTGGTGTGCCAAGCAGCACACTGGATACAATGGAGTGAGAATGAGACAGTTCCTGTTCTCTGAATTTCTGAGTCAAGCACAGGGTCAGGTACCTCCAACATATCCGATGGGTAAACTAGTATGCCCGGTCACACTGGTGATACACCACATCTAGGAATACATCCCAATAACCATGTAAGCCATGGACAGTAGGCACAGTATGGTGTTAATGAATCTGCACTCCTGATCTAGGTTTTATCTCCCCATTTATCTCAGCTTTAATCTTTTATCATTGCACCTTCCCTTCCTTTTACTAGTCATTCCCAAGGTAATCATATACAGTTCCACACGCTGCGATTTCTGGACTACTGGCTCCAGAGGAATTCTTGAGTAGAATCAGTGTTTAGGGATAGGAAGAAGAATCAGACACGGATCTTTTCATTTTTGAGTGTATGTATGGGGTGTCTGTATACATATATACACACACATATGTATGTACATATATAATACATATATATGTACACACAAACACCTACACACACACAATTTCAGAATACTAGAAATCTATTTGAATTATATTCAATAGATTATATATACACACACACCCCATTACACTTGGATTTTTAGCCAGAAAAAAACTATATATAGTTTTTTTTTTTTTTTTTGAGACATAGAGTCTTGCTCTATCGCCCGGGATGGAGTGCAATGGTGAGATCTGGGCTCACTGCAACAAGTGATTCTCCCGCCTCAGCCTCACAAGTAGCTGGGACTACAGGTGCCTGCTGCCACACCCAGCTAATTTTTGTATTTTTAGTAGACAGGGGGTTTCACCATGTTGGCCAGGCTGGTCTCGAACTCGTGACCTCAAATGATCCACCCACCTTGGCCTCCCAAAGTGCTGGGATTACCAGCATAAGCCACTGCGCCCAGCCAAAATTACATATAATACAGCTTTAATACGTACTTAGGGTATGTCCAGAGCATATATAATATATATAGTTTTTATCTGGTTAAAAAATAATCCAAGTGCAATAAACCAGGTGCTATGAGGATAGGGAAAGGCAGGGCGGTGAGCTGCAACAGGACAGGGAAGGCCAAGATCTACTGTGGGCTGCGTGGGAGTTGGGGTAGGGAGGCCTCAGCTCCCGGTGCTTGGTGGGAGGACCCTTAGTCCCCTAGGCAGTGCCTGATAGCCAGAGAGTAGTGAGCAAACAACAGGTGGTAGTTCAGGAGCGCAGTGGGGATCAAGACATCCAGCCTGAGGTAATGGGGGAAGGGAGGCCCAACAGATAGGTAGAATACAGACACAGGGAGTCTAGAAACAAAGAGCTGGAGGCAATTAAGTGATGCCACCAAGAATACCTACAACTGCCCAGCAGTCTGGGCGCAGGGATGCAGCTGAGTCCAAACAACAAGCAGATAAATTTGAGGTCCTGGCAAGCTAACAGGTCAGGGTTTCAGACACAAGAGAAGGGCTGTCAGTTCTTAGAAAGGGGTCAGGCAGTGGGAGGCTGAGTCTTGAGCTTGGGACCGAAGCTCTGATAATTCTTCCTGCCTCAAAGCCTAGGAAAGATCAGGTTGTATGGTAAAGGGTGTACGGATAGTACGTGAAGGAGAAATACAGAGGCCACGGACTAGGTAGGACCAAGTGAGGGCAGCAATATCCTCCATCATCTGTCTTTCAATCATAGTAGCCAGTGCTTTGAGGCAAAGATAAATTAAAATAGAGCTAAGGGAGAAGGAGCTAGTTGTTTAGAAGTAAACAAAAGAATAAGTAAAACACTGTACCACCACAATGAAAATGAATTCAGGTTTTTAAACTTCCTCTATTTTGTGCACTGAATTATATACATCCATCTTATTTTTAACCACAGTTTCTGTTTCAGTTTAGTCCTTCTAAGCCATGATGGGGTGCTATTAACCAAAAAAAAAAATGATGTAGCAGTGTCAATGCTGAAAAATGAAGCTGCTGAAAAATGAAGCTGTTTATTCTCCCTAACCCCCACCCATTTAATATCGGGTTTGAAGTCAACCTAAAGGGTCACCCTACCAATGGCATTCCTTCACTTGTCCCTCCTTACTGGGCTCTAACTTATCATTAGACCCAGAGACTTCGTGCTGCCTTTTGCCTTATAAAATCTTTACAATATGAAAATGACTTTGAATGGTTAGCTTGGATTAATCTATTCAACTTGGATCCCTGAAGGCAGAAGTCCCATTTCACTGAAGAGGATGTAATCCACAGCTTTCCCAGCCAACCTTCACTCTTTCCAAGATAGCCATGCCACCCTCTAACACTAAAAGGGTCTTGGGGACAAGGTTCAGAAATGCTTAGAGGACATGTGTGCTTATTTCTCTTCTTTCGTTTAACAAACATTCACTTGCCAGGCACTAGGCTCTAAGGAGAGAGTTGAGAACAGATTGACAAAGTCAAGCTGGCCTGTAGTCCCAGCTACTTGGGAGGCTGAGGTGGGAGGATCACGTAAGCCCAGGAGTTCCAGGTTACAGTGAACAATGACTACGCGACTGCACTCCAGCCTGGGTGACAAAGTGAGAACCTGTCTCTAAAAAAAGAGACTGACAAAGTCTTTTGCTCATGGAGTTTATATTCTAGTGGGGCAGAGGGGCTCAGACCACAAACAAATAACTAAATGCACAATGTAATTAATGAATGCTGCTTTGGGCATGTAACAACTACCTCTCTTGGGACCTACCTGGGCAGAGGAAAAGGCCATTTCCAGCCTATTCTGGTAACCCACTTAAAGGAATACCAACACATTACAGAATGTTAACTGTGGATCCCGAGGTGTTGTTTTTGAGTTTAGGGGCCAGACCACACGTGTCCAGATGTCTCCCTAGGCAGGCAGACTGGAGAAACGGGCTGGCATGCATAAACATGCCAGTAGCCAGGGAGAACAGCATGCCCCACTAGCTGCTGGTAGCTAGGGCATTGAAGCTGAGGATTGAAGCCTGGCTACTAGCTGGGACTTATCAAAGGAGAATGAAAAATTCCAGAAGATTTGAAAAGGAGAGCCTTTTGCAGAGAAGCAAAGATATCATGACTTAAAATTTGATGCTTCAATTTTGCTCTCATTTCTACAGTTGCAGATAACACAAGCCAGGCAACACTCATTTGTACATTTCAGAAACTTGATGTACTAAGGCTCCCACCTGAGATTGTTGTCTATTTTATAGACCAATTCATATGTCTAAAAATCCAACTAGGCTATAAAGAACATAATAACACGCTTGTCATGGTTTTCTCTGCCGACACATTGCTCAGCATACATCAGTGAGAGCTTTGACCAACCAATCTGAATCTCCTTAAGCAAAAGGCCCATCTTTTCCTTTAAACTAAAGCCGGAGCTGGGCGCGGTGGCTCACGCCTGTAATCACAGCACTTTGGGAGGCCGAGGTGGGAGGATCACGAGGTCAGGAGATCGAGACCATCCTGGCTAACACGGTGAAACCCCGTCTCTACATTTTTAGTAGAGTATTTTTATCAAAAAAATTAGTCGAGCATGGCGGCGGGCGCCTGTGGACCCAGCTACTTGGGAGGCTGAGGCAGGAGAATGGCGTGAACCTGGAAGGTGGAGCTTGCAGTGAGCCGAGATCGCACCACTGCACTCCAGCCTGGGCGACGGAGCGAGATTCTGTCCAAAAAAATAAAACAAACAAACAAACAAAAAACTAAAGCTGGGTATTATGAAGGAAACTTGAGAAAGAAAAGTGACCAATTTTAGTTGATGCAGGTAATCTCACTTATCCTATTATTCCTGCATAGCAAGATACTATAACCCATGACTGTCAAACCTGAGACAGCTGAAGAGCCCAGAAAAAAAGATAAGAGAAGAAAATAGAATTGAAAAATAATTCAGAATGACGGAGGCTATCTGCAGCATTAAGGGCAAAGGCAGGTGTAAGAAGAAAAGGGAGACAGAATAAAAGATAAACCAAAAAATTGAAACAAAAATACAAGGAAATTCAAACATTTACACCAGAATATAAGGGAATCTAAACATCTCTTCAGGTGAGAATGTGTGTCAATACAAGTGCTTGGCACATTGTTTTCTTTCCCCCTTTCTTTTTACTCAGTTTACCCAGTTTTAAAACTGATTTTTAAAAATACATCTTCAAAAGAACATCTTTTGTTAAGTGACTTAAACTCGATACATTCCTTGGATTACTAAGGAGGTTAAGGACACATTTGGTGAAAAAGGGGCCTATCTCCTCTTTCTTCATATACAGGTCATCGAATACTTTTAAAAGCATTTTCCACCATGAATGAGGGGAAATGGAAGAAAACAGGTGGCGACAATTAGTTGCATTTTCCAAATGGACAGAATGAGCCTCCGGAGGGTACACGAGGTCACCAGAGTGAGCCCGCGGTGGAACTGGAGGCGTATTTATAGCTGGCTGACCTCAGTCCTGTTGGGCCCTCGCCGCTCCTTATCTTATGCCGCTGGAATTCGCGGGCTCGCAGATCACAGGGGCCCGGGCGCGCCAGGCCTGGCGCTCCCGAATCGATGAGGAAAGCCGCTCTCCCCGGCAGATCTTCCCGGCCGGGGCGCCTCCATCACCCTGCCTGCGCCTCGGCACGCTGGCAAGGAGCCCGGGAAGAGACGCCGGGAGCGGTGGGTGGGCGAGGAACAAATGCAACGTGACTACATTTTTCTTTGTCGCAACTACCACGACCTGGCCATCCCCCACCTTGGTGACTTGGTGCCTTCCCAGCGACCTGCTTATTTCACGCCAGCTGACTGGCGTTCACTGCAGTGTGAGTGTCGGCCGGAGGAGGGGTCCACGCGAAGGAGCCCACAAGAGCCGGGCTCTCGAGCCCCGATGGCCGGAGCGGGCATCCCGGGCGCCGATGGCCGCAGGGCGCCGCAGCCGCGTCCGCACTCCCCTCCGCCCCGTTCCATCGCGTGCGCCCTACCGCGTCTGCGGGCGTGTGGTGAGGGGCCGGCGGGCCCGCTCGGAGGAGAAGACTCCACCCGCCCGCACCACCAGCAGCTCGGCGCCCCCTTGCCGGCGGCTGGCCCTACTCTCCGGCAGCGGGGCGCCGGGCTCCGCGACCCCTTCGGGCGCTTCCGCCGTGCGCTCGGCTCCTTTCGTGTCCAGGGCGGGGCGGGGCGGGGCGGGGTGGGGCGGGGCCGGCGCCCGGGGTCGGGTGCGCGCGGCGCGGGCGGGCGCCCTCCCAGTGCGCGCGCGCCGTGCAAGGCCCGCGACGCCCGCCCCTCCCCCAGGCCCCCGCACCCGCGCCGCCCCCTCCCCTCCTGGCGAGAGTCGGCGGTGGCGGCGGCGGCTGCAGAGATTGGAATCCGCCTGCCGGGCTCGGCGAAGGAGGAGGGAGGAGGCAGGAGCGAGGAGGGAGGAGGGCCAAGGGCGGGCAGGAAGGCTAGGGTTCGGCGCGTCCGTCCGCGCGCGGCGAAGATCGCACGGCCCAATCGAGGGGCGACCGGGTCGGGGCCGCTGCACGCCGAGGGCGGAGGCCGAGCCGGGCCCCGCTTCGCCCCGGCGGCTCGCCGCGCCCACCCGCTCCGCGCCGAGGTCTGGAGGATGAGTTCCTTGGAGTCCGGGTGAGTTGGGAGTGCGCGTGCGGGCCGGGAGGGGTTGGCCGCCGCGGGGAGGCCGGCGGGGCTCCGGCGAAGCTGCGGAGGCAGCAGGGCACGCAGAGGCCGGAGCCAGGGGCTGC